GGAGAGGGTAGGGTTTTTATAGAGAGAGAGAGAGAGAGAGAGAGAGAGAGAGAGAGAGAGAGAGAGAGAGAGAGAGAAGCTGTGGGTGGTAGTATGATTATAAGAAAAAGAGTTTTATGTGAATTAATTGGACCAAGTGTAAAAACTATTTAAAATAATAATAATAGCATAATAATAATAATAACAATAGCATGTTAATAGTATTAAAAAATAATAAAGTTTTGAGTTAAGAGAAATAACACGTGTGGGGTGATGTAGTTGATAAAGTCGGCCTAGGGAGTTTGACACTTTGACTTTTTTGGCTTTGTTGGATTTGTGTTGTAAAAGGGAGAAATTATAAAAAAAAGGACGGTAGGTCCCATAGACTAGTGCTTATTTCTACTTTCTCTACCTAATAAAAATAGTGATTTTGTCTTGTATTTTGAGAGTTCCCATTTGTTACAAAGTCATTCAACAAGTAAAATTATCATCAATGGACTATATTTGCCAAAAAGCGCTTTTCATATTAAAAATAGTTATTATAAATATTCTTGAAGAACATTAACAGCGGTCATTTTTGGTTTCTTAAGAAAAAGTTTGAGAGGTGATGGTAACGGTCTTTTGATTGTTAATGATAAAAACATAGACACAAAGGAATGTTTCTCTAACAAGAAAATGGCACTACAAAGATAATTAAAATTTATTTTGTAACAATGAGAGCCATGTAGGAATCATGCACTAAAAATCTAAGAAAGGGAACACGAAAGAGGGACCCGAACATACCAAACTTTTCATAAGACGGAGAAAATTGGACGTTCTGTATTTCCAATTTACTCAGTGGATGGAGCAACTCAAGTCTACGGAAAAAGAAAATTAAAAATACGGGGGCTTGTAGATGATTAATTTGCTAGGGAGATAGAAAAAAACGTGCCAAACTTTTCATTGGCAAGGTTCATCAACCATGGAATGAAGGAAAATCGAAAAAGAAGGTCAATGAAATCAAGAATGGAAACCAGGAACTTTGTGCAAACACCATTAGGTTCAGTCGGAAAAAAGAAATTGCAATTAACATTGGAAGGCTAAGGTAAGCGAGATAAAATCTAATGGCTATTTGATATTTGACGTTTGTAACACATACATCAATTCTCGTTTGTTTGATGTCACTTTAAAGATAAGTCGTGTTGGTGATACACTCCAATAGAAAAACAATTTACTTTATTGTTAATTATACGTGAGAATATGTAATCACACATTAAAAAATAAAAACTAAAAAAATGGCTATAAATATTAATAGGTATATAAGTTCCTTATATATTATTTAATAAATTAAATAAAAGATCTAGAGTTTACTTAATCGTCAAATATTAATGAGTAAACTACATATTTGGTCCTTCTATTTAGAACAAATTTGGAAGTACGGCCCCAAAAGTACAAATTTTGTAAAGAAGGCATTTATGGGCATGTTTAATTGTATATTCGGTGCTTGTCCAAAGTAAGACTATTGATTTTTAGTCCATGTCCAAAATAAAATCACCTCTCTCTCTCTCTCTCTCTCTCTCTCTCTCTCTCTCTCTCTCTCTCTCTCTCTCTCTCTCTCTCT